CAAAACAAAGAAGAGAAAAATGCAAAGAAATAATTAGTCCAAAAGACTAGTGGACACATGAACATCAACCTCCACAACCCTGAGAACAAAAGAACTAGAATGGTGCCTGGTCTTCCTGGTTCCCACTCTGTAAAGGGATCACAGTAGAAGGTTCTGGATGGGCAAAAAAAAAAGTGGAACAAAGTTCAAATACACAAAAAAGGCCAGGCTTTTTGGTCTGACAGAGACTGGTCAAACCCCTTAGTCACCCTTTGAACCTGGAACAAAACTCATCCCTGGTTTAAACTGAGCTAATAGACAGGTGTAGAATATGAACAGTAATGCCAGGGAAGCAGACACTCTTTAGAATACTCAACAACAAAGATTATACAGCATTTGTCCAGAAACAAAGTTCAGAAGAAAGGAAGGGATAAAATAGAAAGATTAATGGAAATGAGAATTATAAGGAGGAAATGGGAAAGGTACCATTATTTTGTGGGTATGGTAATTTATGTCATACAACAAAATGCATATTAATAGTTGAATGGAAAACAAATCAGTTTTGTAAACTTTCACTCACATCAATAAAATGAAAAAATCAAAAGACTTAAAGAGCTTTTTTAGTATAGTGACTTGTTATGTGCCATCGAGTCTCCTGCGACTCATAGCGACCCTTTGTACAACAGCTCTGAACCCGACTTTATCCTGTGCCAATCTTATTGTCTTTGACACACCTATCTCCATTACGCCAGTCACTGAACCAATCCATCTCATCAAGGCTCTTCCTCTCTTGCGCTGACTCTCCACCCTCCCAAGCATGACATCCCTCTCTAAGGACTGGTCCCTCCTTGCAACATGTCCAAAGTATATCAGACAAAGCCTCAGAATCCTTGCCTCCAAGGAGCAGCCTGGTCTCACCCTCTCCAGGACGAACTTGTTTGTTCTCCTAGCAATCCATTATATATTCAATACTCTTCTCCAGCAGCACAACTCAAAGATATCAATTCTCCTATCCTCCCTAGTCATTGTCCAGCTTTCTGATGCATAGCAAGTGATTGCAAAGACCGTGGCCTGTATCAGGTGCACCTTAGTCTCCAGATGGACATCATTGCTCTTCGGTACTTTGGAGAGGTCTCTGACAGTCTGACAGCTGACTTTCCCAGTGCAATTTGTCTTTTAATTTCCTGGCTGCTGGTACCAAGAGTGTTGATTGTGGAGCCAAGCAAATGAAAGCTGTTAACAATCTCTTTGCCATCTATCATGATGCTGCCAATTGGTCCAGTGGTGAGAATGTTTTATTGATAGTGAGCTTCAATCCATAATGAAGGCTGCAGTCCTTGACCTTCTGCAGCAAGTGCTTCAGGTCCTCCTCAGTTTCAGCAAGTAAGGTTGTATCGTCTGCACAAAACAGGTTGTTGATGAGTCTACCTCCAATCCAGATGCCACTTTTCTCTTAGAGATCCCTTTTACAATAAAAACAACTTGGCTCAACCAAGAGTTATGCATGCTGTAAAATTGCCCAAGTAGTACAAAGGGAAATTAGAACATTTTCAAATAAAAAGGAATTGATTGAATATAGAAAAACCAAACCAATTTTTTTTAATGTTTTTCAAACCAATCTTAAATGAAATGTTGAACAATATTCTTTGGGCAGAGGGCCAACAGTGACAGATAACAACCTGAAAATTGCAAGCAGAGAGCTGCCTTTTGTGTTTATTTGTGTGATTGTGTATGTTTTGCTTTCATGACAAATAATCCTAGTAGCCAGAAGAAAGCACCTTCCTCCCTTACACTTCAACATCACCTAAAAAACAACCCCCACCCAAGAATTCTCAGAAATTATATAAACATGTAAGACTGAAAGCCAGAAGGGTCAATCTGTAAACAATGACACTTACAAAGCAAAAAAGGAGGGGAAATGCATTAATCATAGAACTTCTATATGGAAAGGAAGTTAAAAAAATATATAGAACAGAAATAAACTTTATGGTAACCACAAAGATAATACATAAAATCTTTTGTCCAACTTAACAGCTTGGCTATAAAAATAAGGAGAAAAAGCATGGTTGAAGTTAGGGGGGAAACATAAGATTTTTTAAAAATAGAAGCTTGAATGTGCCTGTCTAACACAGTGAAAGAGATGGCAAAGATAAGGGAGAAAAAGGGGGAGCAAGTTTTTTAAAAGGCAAGAGGAAATGAGATTTGAGACATGGGTGGAAAAATGTGAACAATGCAAAGATACCTTCTCTGGTAAAGGAGGAATGAATCAGACCTGTTGAGATTATTTTCTCTATGAAATAAAGAAAAAGTTGTAGTTCTGCATTTCCATCTAGCTCTTATGTTTTGTGTTTTACAGATCAAAGTGCTATATTAATTGTATTAATTACAACTAAATGTAGATTTCACAATTGCCTGTACAATCTCTAGCAGATTTATGTTAATGAATAGAAGATAAAAGTAATTTCTGTTTAGCACTGTCATTAGTTGCAAGTTGAGAATGACTATTAGCGACCCTGTGAACAACAGATCTGAACCCTGTCCTAGCCTGTGCCATCCTCACCATCTCTGACACACTTCAGCCCATTGCTGCAGTAACTGTGTCAGTTCACCTGGTTGAAGATCTTCCTCTTCTTTGCCTTCCTCCACATTTCCAAGCACAATATCCCTGTCTCCAGAGAATAGCTTCTCCTGGCAACATGCCCAAAGTGTGTGAGAGAAAGCTTCACCCTCCTTGCTTCCAAGGATCATTCTGACTGCACCTTCTCCAAGTCATATCTGTTTGTTCTTTTCACAGTCTATGGGATATTCAGTACTCTTCTCAACACCACAGATCAGAGCCATCAGATCTTTATTCAGCCAGCTCTAAGATGTATAGCAAGTGATAGAAAATTCCAAGGCCTGAATCAGGTGCACATGTACATCAATAGCTTTCCCCCTGCTTCCTCCACCCCCAAGCCAAAGACTACAGCCTTCAATGGGAATTACATCTCAACATCAAGAAAGCAAAAATCATCAACCATGAACTAACAGGCAACATCATCATAGACAGAGAAAAGTTTGATGCTGATAACAATTTCATCATGTTTGGCTCCACCATCAACATCCTTGGTACCAGCAGTCAAGAAATTAAAAGATGTGTTGCACTGGGAAAAATATGCTATTATGGTTCTTTCCAAGGTGCTATGGAGCAATGATGTCAATTTAAAGATTATGGTGCACCTGATTTAAACTATGGTCCTTTAAATTCTTTGCTATGCATTGGAGAGTGAATAAGGATGACAGACAAATTGATGCCTATGATGTTTGATAACTACTGAATATCCAATGAGCTCCCAAAAGAACAAATATGTCTTGGAGAAAGTACAATCAGGGTACTCCTTAGAGGCAAGGATGGCAAAGCTTCATCTCAATACTTTGTGCATCTTATAAGGAGAGGCCAGTCCATGGAAAAAGACAATCGTGCTTGCAAACGTAGAAAGACAGTGAAAGATAGGAAGATCCTAAAAAGTATGAATTGACACAGTGTAGCAAAGTGCTCAGGTATATCAGGGATGATGAGGATGGCATGGCCCAGGATAGAGAAAGCATAGGATTGCTGGGAGTCATAGTCAACTAACAGCAACAACAACATATCAATACCTTATTGTTACGCCTGATGCAGCTTTATGAATTTGGTCCCCTAAGAAGATTAAATATTATTTTGCTTTCATTATCACTACAGATAATACAATGACTAATTGTAGCATAGTTCATTAGTGAATTTGTGTGCTTTGGATTGAATGAATTTCTGTTCAGTTAGCTCTCAATTAACCACAAGAACAGAAGTAATATCTTTTTAGCTCATGGAAAATAGTTTATTGTCTTGGTGGGGTTTTTTAAAGAGAAGAAATATATTCCTAATTAAGGATCCCTGATGGTACAAGGGTTAAGGACTGGGCTGCTAATTGAAAGGTTCTAATTCATCTAGGAGAAACACCTAGCAGTTTCCATAAAGATTACAGCAAAGAAAACTCTATGGGGTCGGTTTTACTCTGTCACATGAGGCGGCTATGAATTGGCCTCCACTCAGGAGCACTCAGCCACAATGTTCCCAGTTATATTGTGTATAGACTGATAACAGAATGAATTAATATTTCCACTAGGATTTGACTGAATTAGGTAGTACAATGTGTTAATGGACTACCAAAAACACGAATGGCTATGAATTGGGAAAAGTACAGCCAAAATGCTCTTTGGAGGCAGAGATGACAAAGCTTCATCTCACGTATTTTGAACATGTTGCTCGGAGAGGTTTTTCCTTGCGAAGGGACATCATGCTTGGAAAGGTGGAAGGTTGGTGAAAAAGAGGAAGGCTCTTAATAACATGGATTAACACAGTGTCTGCAGCAATGGGCTCATGAGCTTGGAGATGATGCCAATGGCACAGGACAGGATCAAGATAGGGTCACGATGAGTCATACTCAACTTGTTGGCACCTAACACCAACAGGGTGTAAATGACAGAATTCTTGGTGGCAAAGATAAACCGTACTGACATTAAAGATTTCTTGCCAATAACTAATAATATTCTAAACTATCTACGAAGTTAAGGCCTATGACTGGATTGCAAACCATTACCCTTTCTCCTCTTGCATTACCACTGCTCATCCTTTCAGCCAGAGTATTCCATCTTTTAGAATGGGAACACCATAATGCTTTTTATATTGGGCTGTCAAATGATATTTTATCTGAAGAAAAACTTCTGCAGCTAAGTGTTAAAATAACAGAGTGTAATCAGTTTTTCTTTTCTCTTTTGCATTGTTCTTAAATTAAAAATACCTTCATGACTCCTGTGATTAGTAAGTCTCTCTGACATTTCTTGGAACTGTATACATTTACATTCTTGTTTTCCAAAGGATAATACAAAATAGACTTTTTAGTTTTGCATGTAGCTTTATTATTTTATCATATTTTTAGTTGCTCAATTTTCTATTTTCATCTACCTATAGCTCACTCACGTGATTTCCTTAAGCAAAAATTAAGATGTCCACATGCGATCTGTGTCCAGACTCCCAAACTGCACCATATATGTTGTAGAGCCTGGATTTTTAGGTATTTTTAAGATAATGCTTTTCAGAAAGCTGAATAGTATAAGCTATTTCCCTAAAATAAGTGCTTTAAAAACTTGAGTGCTTCTTAACCTTCATTTCAAGACTTCACTAATTCAATTTTACTTTAACTTGTTTTCTTACATTGTTTATTATGAAACAAATAGTGAAAAATGATGAAGACATATATTAAAGTGTTTGAGTTTAAGAAAAGTTGGGAAAAGTGGTTTTGTATGTGTGAAGAATAAAGAAACCTAACATGCTAGAGAAGAGTAGTAAACATACCATGAACTGCCAAGAGATCAAAAAGGTCTGTTCTGGAGAGGGTAGAACAAGTGTGCTCCTTGGAGGCAAGGATTTTGAGACTCTGTCTCACATATTTTGGGCATGTGGCCAAGAGGTACCAGTCCTTCGAGAAGGTCATCATGTCTAGAAGGGTGGAGTGTCAGGGCAGGAGAGGAAGACCCCGGATGAGATAGAGTGACATAGTGACTGTGGCAATGGATTTAGGTGTATGATAGATACTGAGGTTGCCTCAGAATAGGGCAAGATTCGGAGCCATTTTTCATTAGGTCACTATGGGTCATAGTTGATCTGACAGCACATAACTTCAACAACAACAATGTCCTATTTAAGAAAAACCTAAACCAAAACGTTTCAGCCTACTGCAGTTGAGTTGATTCCGAGTCATGGCAACCTTCCATTGAGTTTCAGAGGCTATAAATCTTTGTGGGATGAGACTACCTGTCTTTCTTTCAAGGGGAATCATTGAAGACCTTTGGGTTAGCAGCCTGACAAGGTTGGCACCACGCCACCAAGACTCCTTTACTGTTCTAAGGACCACATGCAACAATAAGTCTAAATGAAGGACACTAAAACCTTGCCCGACACATCAGGAATGCTCTGTGGCTTATTCTTGTATACAAATGCTCTGTGCTCTGTGGCTTATTCTTGTATACAAACATAAAGGAGGAAAAAATATAAATGAGAGTGCATGTTTATGTCTGAAATGCACTAAACTAGGAATTGTAATTCCTATGTAATTTGAAAGAGAGAATAGAAAGATTCTGCTTTGGAAAATGTTTATATCCATTAAGTGAATATTGCTCTTTGAATAGTTTTGCTAAATTTGTATTATTTTTCAATTTTATGATTCTAAAATATATATGACGAGGGAGCTTTGGTGGCCTAGTGACAAGAAGTGGCACTATAATCACAAAGGTGCATGGTTCGAATCCACCAGATGCTCCACTGGAGGAGGAGCAATCTCCTCCTGTGCCAGTTGGATCTGATTCGATGGTACACAACAAGGGGGGAAAATGACAAAATTTGCCATTTTAAGCATGCTTAAATATATAATTTATTGGCATTAATTACACTCACCAAAATATATAATCATTAAATCTATCCATCTTCTGTTGTTGTTGAGTGCCATTGAGTCAGAACGGACTCATTGCTGACCCTCCAGAGGGTTTTCAGTGGAGATAAATCACACAGGAGGAGATCGCCCATCCATCTCCTAGTCCTCCATTATCCCAAACAGAAACTCAATACTCTATATAGGCAAGTAAGTGTGTGTTTTTAATTAATTTTTTAAAATGTTGACTTATTTTCTTAGTGCTGCTACACCAGAAATACTACAAGTTGATGACTTTAAAAAAACGAACTTATTCCCTTGCAGTGTAGGGAGGCTAAGTCCAGATTCAGGGTAGTAGCTCTAGGGGAAGGGAGCCCTGGTGACCTAGTGGTAAGAGTCTGTGCGGCAAGCCTGAAGGCATGTGTTTGAATCCACCAGCTGCTCCATGGGAGAAGGATGGGCAGTCTTCTTTCATGTGATTATTGCCTCTGAAAACCCCCAGAGGGTCAGCTGTGGGTCAGTTCTGACTTGATGGCACACAACAACAAGAAATTCTAGGAGAATGCTCTCTGTATCTGGGCCTTGCAGGAAAGTCATTATTTCAGGTTCTCTAGCTGTCCATTCTTTTTTTCTTTCTTTCTTTTTCTTTTTTTTTTTTCTAGCTGTCCATTCTTGGAGAGCCTGGACTTGTAGCCTGGTCTGCCTCTATTTTTAGCAGATTATGTTTGTCTTCCCCCGTGTATGCTTTCTTCTGTGCCTAAGCTGCCCTTTATAGAAAATGATTGATTTTAAAATATACTTCATTGACGTGGCCTCATCAACATAACAAATAAAACCCTGTTCCCAAAAGGAGATTACATCCAAAGAGTTAGGATTTACAGCATATATTTATGGAGATACAATTTAATCATAACATCTAATATGTTTGTTTCTTGATTTGTATATAGGTTTCACTGTCCATCCTGGAGATAGATGGAGTCTTGAGGTGGGACAAGAGTATGCCATTACAGTTGACGTGTTTGATAAAAGCAGCACAAAGACCTACCTTTCAGATGTGAGTCTCTCCTTTGTGTTATTCTCATCCCCTGGGTGGGGTAACTCCTTGAATTGAACTATCTTTGTGCCTAGAAAGACCTTTTTTTTGTGCCCAGACTTTGCCTTTGGAAATGCAAGATACTAGTTTATTACTATCACCATTAAATAGTTTTATCTCTGAGGAATGGCAAACTGGAAATCCAACTATAATGCATTTAGAATTCTAGAAAGTCATTGCTGAGAGATGCTTCCAGCAGCGGTGCAGGGGTGAGGGGAGTGTTGTACAGTCAGGCAGGCCCACATTCCATTTTCTCCCCTAAGAATTGCCAGTGTGTGGAGTGGGACAAATTACACTAAAACTTACCTCAACTTTCGTTCTTTCTATTCCTGATTGTCAGTAGTTGATCTTTCTAAATCTAGTACCTTTTAAAATTTGTATCTTTGGTAAAAAAAAACATGTTTTCATGTTTATGTTGCCTTTGGGCTGATTTTCAGAATCTCAGGATTACTCATGAGTTTCCAAAGGAGTACTTTGAAGAGCAACTATCCACAATTAACGGATCATATCATGTTGTAAAAGCTCTAAAGGATGGTGTTGCAGTAATACATGCATCTTTGACTTCTATCATTCACCAGGTAATTTTATCTTATTTATTTTATTTTTAAGATGGAGAAAAGACTGGCATTGTCAAGGATTTCTTTTTTAAATAAATACAACTTTTTATATTAATTTACTTACAAAGTTCATATGCATTGTTTTTCACACTAGATCTTTCCTATTCTTTTTACCCAGCCCTCCCCCCATCAAATTATATGACTCTATGATTAACAGCACCCCCCTAGCCTATCCTCACCCCTCTACTTCCACCCTCCTCCCCTTGGATCCTCAAACACATTCTACAATAATGGTTTTATACAGTATTTGTTCTTATGGGACTGAGTTAATTCACTCAGCATAATACTCTCCAGTCCCTCCCAAGTTAGGTAGTGACTTACAAAATCATTACTCCTGCATGCTTCATGATATTCCAACATGTGAATGTACCATAGTTTCTGAATCCATTTGATTGTGCTTAGATATCTGGACTGTTTCCATGTTCTTGTGATGGTGAATTACACTGCTATGAACACTGGTGTACAAGTCTCCATTTGTGCCTCAGTTCTCATTTTCTTGGGGTATATTCCAAGCAATGAAATAGCTAAGTCATATGGAATTTCTATGTTCAGCTCTCTGAGGAAATGCCAAACTGCCTTCCAGAGTGGTTAAATTATCGCTATACGCAGATGATATGATAGTGTACACACAAAACCCCAAGGACTCAACAACAACAAAAACCTGTCAGAGCTAATAAACCAGTTTAGTAGAGTGGCAGGATATAGAATCAATATCCAAAAATCAGTGGGATTCCTCTACAATAGCAAAGAGAACCTAGAGAAAGAGACCAAGAAAACAATACCATTTGTAATAGCCAACCACAAACTGAGATACTTGGGAGTAAACCTAACTAGAGACACAAAAGACCTGTACAAAGAAAACTATAGAACCTTTCTGCAAGACACAATAAAAGATGTAAATAAATGGGGAAATAGTTCCCTGTTCATGGATGTTGTTGTTGTTATGCGCCATTGAGTCGGCTGCACCTCATAGCAACCCTATGTACAACAACCCTAAACCCTGCTCTCTCCTGTGCCAACCTCACTGTCTCCAACGCACCTACCCCGATTACCCCAGTCACTGAATCAATCCACCTCATAGAGGGTTTTCCTCTCCTGTGCTGTCCCTCCAACCTCTCAAGCATGGCCTCCCTCTCCACGGTCCCTCCTTGCAATATGTCCAAAGTATATCAGATGATGTTTTGGAATCCTTGCCTCCAAAGAGCAGCCTGCTTTAACCCTCTCTAGGACAAACCTGTTCATTTTTTTAGCAGTCCATAGTATATGCAATACTCTTCTTCAGCACCACAGCTCAAAGGCTTCAGTTCCCCTTCTGTCATCTCTAGTCATTGTCCAGCTCTCTGATGCATAGCAAGTGATTGCAAAGACCATGGCCCATATCAGGCGCACTTTAGCTTCCAGAGTGACATCATTGCTCTTCAGTACTTTGGAGAGTTCCCTAACAGCAGACTTTCCCATCATTATACATCTTTTAATTTCCTGGTTGCTCGTGCCAAGAGTGTTGATTGTGGAGCCAAGCAAACTAAAGCTGTCAACAATCTCAATCCCTTCACCATCAATCATGATGCTGCCAATTTGCCCAATGGTGAGAATCTTTGCTTTCTTGATCTTGATTCTCAAACCATATTGAAGGCCACAGTTCTTGACCTTCTGCAGCAAGTGCTTCAGGTCCTCCTCAGTTTCACCAAGTAAGGTTGTGTCATCTGCCTAATGCAGATTGTTGATGAATCTTCCTCCAAAGGGAAGACTCAATATTGTAAAAATGATGGTCCTACCAAAAGCAATCTACATGTTCAATGCAATCTCAATATAAATACCAAATTCATTTTTTAATGATATTGAAAGGGATATTATCAAGTTTATTTGGAGAGGAAAGATACTACGAATAAGGAAAGCACTTTTGAAAAACAAAAATTAAGTGGGAGGCATAGCACTTCCTGACCTCAAAACCTACTACATAGCAGTAGTAACCAAAACAGCATGGTATTGGTACAACAATAACAGGAACATAGACCAATGGAACAGAATTGAGAACCCAGAAATGGACCCAGTTATCTATGGTCAACTGATATTCAACAAAGAAATAAAATCTATTAAATAGGGAAATGATAACCTCTTCAATGAATGGTGCTGGCAAAACTGGATCACCAGGTAATCTTAAAAGATTCTTTATATTCTAAAAATACTGACCAGACTTGGTTGGTTTATTGATTTGCAGATACCAATATGTCATATACCTTTGCCTTTCATAAAATGAGAAAGAATCTGACCGATTGATAATACACTTGATAGGTTTTGTTATGTGCTGTGAGTCAACTGTGACTCATAACAACCCTATGTGCAACAGCTCTGAAGCTTGCCCTGTCTTGAGCCAGTATCATTGATTTTGACACACCTACACCCAATGCTCTAGTTACTATATCAATCCATCTCATCCTGGGTCTTCCTCTCCTGCACTATCCCTCCACACTTCTGAGCATGAAGTCCTTCTCCAAGGACCAGTCTCAGGGCCACATGCCCAAAGTATGTGAGAGGAAGCTTCGAAATCCTAGCCTCCAAGGAGAAACTTGGTTTCACACTCTCTAAGACAGATCTGTTTGTTTTCTTGGCACAGTCCATGGTATGTTCAAAACTCTTCTCCAGCACCACAATGCAAAGACATTGATTCTTTTGTCATCCCTAGTCATTGTCCAGCTCTCTGATGCATAGAAAGTAATTGTGAAGACCATGGCCTGGATCAGTCACACCTTAGTCTCTAGAGTGACATCGTTGCTTTTCAGTACTCTAGAGATTTTTCTCAATGCAATTCATCTTTCGATTTCCTCATTACTGGTCCCAAGAGTGTTGACTGTTGAGCCAAGCAAGCTGAAGCTGATAACAACCTCAGTCTTTTCTTCATCTATTATGGTGCCTCTCCAAATTCTACACTAATTGATATTAGAATCCTAATCTACATTTCATGTATATTATTTGGGATTTAATAAAAGCCATACACTCATTTTCTATTCCTACCAGCAGTGTTTGAGGGTTTAAATTTCTATTGAATGTATTGGAGCATATATTGGAGCACTTGACTATTTGGAAGAGGAGTTATTAACTTTTTTCTATTTTTTTTTTAAACCCAAAACTGTGAGTAATTTACAGGCAGTTGCAAAAGTAATTCATAAGACCAGGAAGACATTCAAATGGCCAATAAGCATGTGAAAGAACCACAATATCGTTAGGGAAATGCAAATCAAAACCACAATGATATAGCACTTTACACCCACCAGAAAGTCTAAAATAGCAAAGACAGACAATGACAAGTGTTGGTGAGACAGGGAGAAACTGAAACCCTCAAACGTTGCTGGTGGGAATAGAAAATGGTGTAACTGCTTTGAAAAACAGCCTGGCAATTTAATTTAGATTTAAATATAGATTTACCGTATGATACAAAATTCCTACTTCTATACCCAAGAAAATGAAAAACATATGTTCATATCTACACAAAAAAAATTTGTACATGAATGTTCTTAGTAGCTTTTATTCATAATAGTAAAAAGAACTAATTCAAATGTCTATTAACTAATAAATGTATAGATAAATTGTGATATACCCTTTCAATAGATTATTATTAGCAATAGCAAGAAATTAAGTGCTTATACATATTGCAGCATATCTTAAAACAGTGAGTGAAAGAAGTTAATCACAAGGGATACATGTTATATGATTTCACTTATATAAAGTATCCACAATAGACAAATCCATACAAACATAAAATATATTAGTAATTTCATATATCTAGGGGGACTTAAAGATAGCTGTTGTTATGTGACATCAAGTCAACTAAAACTCATAGTGAGCCTATGTACAGTAATAGCTCTGAAGCCTGCTCTATCCTGGGTCAATCTCACTGTGACACACCTATCATCATTACCCGTTACTGTGTCAATCAATCTTATCCGGTCTTCCTCTTCTTGGCTGTACCTACACCCTTCCAAGCATGATGTCTTTCTCCAAGGACTGGTCTCTCCTGACAATGTTCCCAAAGGATGTGAGACGGAGCCTCCAAGGAACAGCTTGTCTTCACTCTTTCCAGGAAAGACCAATTAATTCTCTTGGCAGTCCATGGTAGGTCCAATACTCTTCTCCAACAGTATAACTCAAAGGTATCAATTCTTCTGTCCTCTTTGGTAATTATCCAGCTTTCTGATGCATAGCAAGTAATTGTAAAAACCATGATTTGGATCAAGCTCACCTTAGACTCTAGACTGACATCATTGCTCTTTAGCACTCTGGAAAGGCCCCTGACAACAGATTGTTCTAATGATTTTCTTTTGATTTCCTGACTGCTGAGTGTTGATTATGGAACCAAGCAAACAATCTCAGTTTCTTCTCTATCATGATGCTGCCAATTGGCCCAGTGGTGAGAATCTTTGTTTTCTTAATGTTAACTTCAATCCATATTGAAGGCTGCAGTCCTTGACCTTCTACAGCAAATACCTCAGGTCCTCCATAGTTTCAGCAAGCAAGACTGTGTATAACGTTGTAAGATGAGTCTTCCCCCAATCTTGATGCCAATCTTTTTCCTCTTCATAAAGTCCAGCCTCTCAGATGATCTGTTCTGCATATAGAATGAAAACCCATGGAGATAGGATGCACCCTTGTTGTATACCTTTCCTGATTTTGAACCATACAGTATTTCCTTTCTCCATTCTCATAGATTTCACATGAGCACAATCAGGTGTTCTGGGATTCCCATTCTTCTCAATGTTAGCCACATTTTGTTGTGTTCCACATTGTCAAATACCTTTGCATAGTGAATGAAACACAAACATTCCTCTGGTAGTCTTTGTTTGCAGTTAAGATCCATCTAACATTGGCTATAATGTCCCTGGTGCCACACCTCTTCTAAACCTAGCCTGCATATCTGGCATTTATCTGTTGATATACTGTCCCAGTTGTTTTGGATCATTTTTGGTTGCTGTTATATACTGTAGAGTCAGAACAGACCCAGAGCTGACCCTCCAACAGGTTTTCAGAGGCAGTTAATCACACAGGAGGAGATTGCCCATCCTTCTCCTATGGAGCAGCTGGTGGCCTCGAACCACATGCCTTTGGGATTGTATCACAACTTCTTGCCACTAGGCCACCAGAGCCTACATATTAGGTCCCAAGGATTTTATGGTAGTGGAACTAGTGGGATGAGGCCTGTTTCTTCAAATTTATCCAGTTAGATATGCTCTCTTCTGATGGCAGCATGCATTGAAATTGAAATGGCAGCTTCCTACTAATCTCCAAGGGTGGAAAATGTACATGGGCCCTATATGTCCTATGGGTCACAAAGAAAAGGGTTCAATTTCCTCTTGCCTTCAGCTAATTCCTTTTTTATATCAATTTGTTATCTTATACCAATCTCTTACTTAATGTCCTTTTCTTTTGTGTCATGTTCTGTTTGCTATGTCTTCCTAGTCTTATCTTTAATTTCTACTACTCTCAGCATATTGTATTTTATTTTCAGACATATTCTCTATAGCCTTGATATAGTTAGCTTCAGCTCCAAATGTCCCATGTTTTTATTATCTTGTTGAGTTATAGGATTTATCTGGACAGATTTGGCATACACGTCTTTTTCCTCACCCCAGTAGATTTCTTTCTCACTGTTCACATAAATACTATCATAATGATGCTCTTGAGCTGGAAGATTTCTTTTCCATTTTATGATCCAGCTATCGTGAAACTCTCTAGCTCATATACTTTGGCATGTTGGTAGGAGGGACCAATCTTAGAAAAGGACATCATGCTTTGAAAGAGGAAGGCCCACCACAAGATGGATTGACACGGTGACAGTAATGAGCTCAAGTGTGTCTGTGATGGTGAGGAAGGTGCAGCATGGGGCAAGGTTCACCTCTTCTCTTCAGAGAATCACTGTGAGTTACAGTCAACTTGACAGCACCCAGTAACAACCTTAATAAAGTAAAGGGAAAATCAGGTCCATCATTCTAAATATGATACAGCTGATAAATGTTTCAGGATTTCTTAAAATAGTTTTGTTTTACCTTAAAAATAAAAACGTTTATACGGTGGAATGTGACAGTTCCCATTTTACTTGTATAGACTTCCCTTTATACTCTTGTTGTTAAGTGTGAGAGGCCAGGTCTTTTCTTCAGAATAGCTTGTAATATCACTTTGCCTTTACAGTTTACAAATTTAAATGATAGGAGCCTAAAGGTCTTTCTTTATGAAACTTTGATTTTACTCATTATACTCATAAAATAAAAAAAAAACCAATCTAAATGCTATTAAGTCTGATATATGGTGATAAACTTTCTTTTATTTAGGGAAATCAGGAGATGTATTGTACTGGAAAAGTCTACAGTTAGGGGCCTCTTCACATTATTGACAAGTAATGATGTCAGTTTGAAGACTAAGGTGCATCTTATTCAGGCATTGGTCTTTCCGAACACTTGGTATGCGCCTGACAGCTGAACAATGAATAAGGATGGCAGACGAAGAATTGAGGCCTCTGAGCTTTAGTGTTGGAGAAGAGTACTGAATATCTCATGGATTGCCAAAAGAACAAACAAATGTGTCTTGGAGGGTGTGCCAGCCAGAGTACTCCTTGGAGGCAAAAATAATAAAACTTTGTGGCAAGAAGCTGCACTGCAATCCCAAAGGTGTGCAGTTCGAATCCACCAGATGCTCTGCTGGAGAAGGAGGGACAATCTCCTTTACCAATCAGACCTGATTTGATGGTACATGCACAAAAAATAATAAAATTAAATTAAAAAAATAATAATAAAGCTTCACCTCACATACTCCGAGCATGTTGCTAGAAGGAGCTATTCCTTGGAAAGGGACATGATTCTCAGAAAAGCAGAGGGTTAGCTAAGAAAAAGAAGACCCTCAACCAGGCAGATTGACACAGTGACTGCTGCAATGACTCTAATGTGTTAGGAAGTGTGAACATGGAACAGGATAGGACAGGGTTCAGATCTGTTGTTCATAGGATCATTATGGGTTCTACTGTACTTGAAACACCTAACAGCAATAAGAATTCTCCCTGAGTATGGTACCAATTTTTTTTTATTTTAAAAAATTTATTATTATTATTAATTTTAATGAAAATTTACAGAGACTTTGGATTTCCAGTCATTCATTGTTGTGCTTTTCTCCCTGCCCACCCTCCCCCCTACCCTGGTTCACTCTTCTCTTTGAAAAGTAAAAGAAAAATTCTTTGATTGTTATACAATCCCTCCCCCCAGGTCCACTCCACTATGCAGCCTTCGTTCTGGACTCCTGTCATGACAATAATATCTAATCATATAGCCCTTTAAAACAGTTCTTTCTCCCATCTGTTTCAATGCAGTATACATAATTTATCATATAATTAATCCCATCTTTCTCACTCTCCCCCCAACCCCGATGTCAGTTCCATTTACAGCAGTGAAACTATGCAGTATTTGTCCTTTTGTGTCTGAGATATTTCACTCAGCATAATGTCCTCCAGGGTCACCCATTTTGTATATTTCATGAGTCCCTTGTTTTTCAGTGCAGCGTAGTATTCTGTTTTGTGAATATGCTACAGCTTCTCTATCCATTCATTTATTGATGGACATTTAGGTTGTTTCCAACTCTTTGCTATTGCCAACAAAGCCTTGACAAACATGGGTGTATATGGTACCTATTTTAAGTCTAACAAAACTTGTGCATCGTTGTACCATAGTAGGTGTCCTTCTACATGAATAAGAGTATTTATTTATTTTATAAATAGAAACTAGCTGTTGTTGTTGTTATGCGCTGTTGAATTGGAACCAACTAATTCATAGCTGACCCACCAGTGGGTTTTCAGAGTATAATTATAAGCATAACTCTTTTGCTGATACTCTTAAGTATGAGTGTGTATCATAAGAACAGCCCTTATAAAATTTATTTAAAGCTTTTTTCTTTTTTTGCCTCTTATAGAATAAAACTGGTCAGACTATAGGACTTCCAATTAAACAGCAGCAAGAAGTAAAGATTTATCTTCCTATCAATCTTACACCCAAATTTTTGGCATTTCCTTATCATCCTGTTGGAATATATCATTATAAAGTGCAGGTATGGTAACGTGAGAATTTACAAACATCTAGACTCCCTGACAGCTTAATTTATTAAAATTTATTTAATGTTTACAATTGCTTCTCCAGATTTTAATAGGATAGCTTTGTTTTTATTTTTTTTATAGCTTTGTTTTAGATGATAACCAAATCATCCTCTTAAATACTGTTATCCTAGAAAGATGTGATTTATTTCTGTATCTTTATATATATGAACTTTGATAAATGACAATAGTTATAGAAAGGCTTCAGGCCTTTTATTCTTATGGTTGCTATGAGTCGTGCTCAACATGACAGCAATCATCAACAACAACATGTATTTTTTCCATGTGAGTTTTATAAACCTATGTCAAGCTCCTTTCTGCATTCTCTCTTTCTCCTACTAAAGGGTGCTTGCTACTCTTTTTCCTCATTTTTACTTACTTCCAATCTGGGCTCTACCTCTAATACTGTATCTTTGTTCCTCTAATGTTCACAAGGTTTTCAGAGGCCTGCTATTTATGAAGTGGATGGACAATCTTACTGCCTAGTCTATATTAGTCTGGGAGCTCTACTATGGGTGACCATTTTGGTGTTTGACACACTGATGGAATAGCTTTTTAGCATCACAGCAACCCACACATTACCTCAGTACAGCAACCTGATAGACAAGTGCTGTACTAATTAAAAAAAATTATTCCCCAGATACAACAAACTGACAATTAAGTGTTATAGTAGCAAACATCCTTTAATGAATGGAACATGGAATATATGAGGCATGAATCTTGTAAAACTAGAAGTTGTGAAAAATTAAATGGAGCACATGAACATTAACATTCCAGTCACTAGTGAGATGCGATGAACAAGTTTTGGCAATTTTAAATGAGATAATCACATGGTATACTATGCTGGGAATGAAATATAGAAGAAGAATGGTGTTGCATTCATAGTAAAAAAGGTCAATTTTGAGTTCTATCCTGAAGAACAATATTTTGAGTGATAGGATATTATCCATACACATACAACAAAGACCTGTTAATACAACTATTATTCAAATACACACTTCTACAGCTAATGCCAAAGAGGATGAAATTGAAAATTTTTACCAAATCTTGCAGTCTGAAATTGACCGAACATGCAAGCAAGATGCATTAATGTTAATTGAAAAAAATTAAAGATGACTTATTGTTAATTGGTGACTGGAATGCAAAAGTTGAAAACAATGAAGAAGGAATGATAGTTGGAAAGTATGGACTTGGTGATTGAAATGAGGTTGGAAGTAGAATAATAGAATTTTGTATTTTCCATGATTCATTGCAAATACCTTTTTTTAAAAAATGGTGACTTTATCCATAGACCTCACCAGATGGGCTGCGTAGGAAGGAAGTTGACTAAATCTGTGAAAGGAATAATTGAAGAAGTTCAACATCAGCAGTGAAAACTAGGCCAGCAGCAGACTGTAGCATAGACCATCGGTTACTCATGTACAAGTTCAAATAGAAGCCAAAGAAAATTAACACAAGTTCATGAGAACTGAAATATAATCTTGAATCTATTCTACCTGAATTTAAAAATAATCTTAAGAACAGATGTGAAGCACTGAACACCAATGATTGAAGACCAGATTAGTTATAGAATGACATCAAGGATATCGTTCATAAAGAGAACAAAAGTTCATTACAAAGACAGAGGAGAAAGAAAAAACAGAAATGGATGTTAGAGGAGACTCTGGAAATTGCACTAGAGTGTCAAGAATCCAAAATAAAGGGAAAATATGCTGAAGTAAAAGAAGAGAAGATTTCAAAGGACATCTCGAGAAGATAAAGCAAGGTATTATAATGGGATGTACAGAAAGCTGGAATTGGAGAACAAAAAGGGGAAACTCACTCTGCATTTCTCAAGCTGCAAGAACTGAAAAATAAATTTAAGCCTTGAATTACAGTATTTAAAGATCTGTGGACCATATGTTGAATGCTTTAGGAAACATCAAAAGAAGATGGAGGAGAATTACAGCCACTGTACCAAAAAGAGTTGACTGATCATGAAAAATTTCAGGAAGTACCGAATGAGAGGCAGCCAGTGGTAATGAAGGTGGCAGTTGAAGCCACACTCAAGGCACTGGGGGAAAAAAATAAGGCTTCAGGAATCAATGGTATACAGATAGACATGTTTAATTTCGACTAACAGATGCAGCCTTGGATGCACTCACCAGTCTTTGCCAGGAAATTTGGAGGACTGCTGTCTGGCTGACTATTTGGAAGAGGTCCATATTTGTTCACATTCTCAAGAAAGATGATCCAACAGAATGTGAAAATTGAACAATATCATTAATATCACATGCAAGCAAAATATCGCTGAAGGTCATTAAAAAGTTGCTAGAACAGTCATACATAGGCAACTGCGAGAAGTTCAAGCAGGATTTAGAAGAGGCTGTGGCATCAAGGATATCATTGCTGGTTTCAGATGGATCCTGGCTGAAAGTAGAGAATATCAGAAGAATGTCTGTTTATGCTTTATTGACTATGCAAAAGTATTTGACTGTGTGGATCATAACAAATGAGGTAACATTGAGAAGAATGGGAATTCCAAAACACTTACTAAAAACCTATACCTAGATTGAAAGGCTGTTGTGTGAACAGAACCAAGGGGACACTGTATGGTTTAAATTTAAGAAGGAAGTATGTCAGGGTTGTATCCTCTGTCCGTACCTATTCAATCTGTATGCTGAGCAAATTATTTGAGAAGCTAATCTATGAAAAAAAAATATGGCATCAAGATGGAAGGAAAACTCATCAATACCTGTGTTATGCAGATGAGACAACCTTGCTTGCTGAAAGTGAGAACTTGAATCACTTGTTGCAGAAGATCAAAGAATACAGCCTTCAATATGGATTGAATCTCAATGTCAAGAAAACAAAAATTCTTACCACTGGACCGATAGGCAACATCATGATAGATGATGAAAAGATTGAAGTTGTCATCAATTTCATCTTACTTGAATCTACAATCAACACGCTTGGTACCAGAAGTCAGGAAGTCAGGCAATGTATTGCACTGGGAAAGTCTGCAGTCAGGGACCTCTCCAAATTATTGAGGAGTAATTATGTCATTTTGAGAACTAACGTGCATCTGATTCAGGCCATGGTCTTTTCTATCATTTGCTGTGCATCTCAGAACTGGACAATGAATAAGGGTGACAGAAAAATAACTGATGTCTTTGAGCTGTGGTATTGGAGAAGAGTAGTGAATATCCCATGAACGGACAAAAGAACAAATATGTGTTGAAGAAAGTAAAGCTAGAGTGCTCTTTGGAGGCAAAGATGATAAAGCTTTGCTTCACATACTTTAGGCAGGTTGCTAGGAGAAGTTATTCCTTGGAGAAGGACATCATGCTTGGAAAGATGGAGAGTCAGTGAAAGAGAGGAAGACCCTCAACTAGGTGGACTGACACAATGGCTGCCGCAGTGGGCTCTCGCGTGTCAGAAAGTGTGAGGATGGCACAGGGTTCAGATCTGTTGTTCGTAGGGTCGCTATTGGTTGTACTCGACTTGATGGCACCTAACAACAACGTAACAACTTTCCCCTTCCTCTGACATTTGGAGACACTACCAGGACTTTGGGTACTTTACTACATAGATCTGCAGAGTTTCTTAATTATGTCCAGGAAAAATTTATTAGTTTTATTATTTCATGAAATTTATTTTGCAAGTCATATTTTACTTTTTCATTTACATACTCTCTTTATTTCTATAGTAATTAAACATGAGGTTCTTTTTCCACAGGTGGAGGGCGGGAGTGGCAACTTCACTTGGACCTCTTCCAATGAAACGGTGGTCCTGGTAACCACTAAAGGAGTGGTGACTGCAGGTCAGATCATGGGGAACAGCACTGTTTTGGCCAGAGATGTACAAAATCCTTTTCGATATGGAGAAATTAAGGTAAATGACTGCAGGAAACCTTTTCCTCACCCCTGAGACTCTGCTATCTATATTTAAGTACATTTATTGCCGTGTGTCAAAACCAATTTATAGCTGACCCTCCAGAGGATTTTCCCCTGGAAGCTGGAAAATACAGGGAGGAAATTGCTCCGGTCTTTCCGTCCCACTGAGTGGATAGAGAATTCCAACCACCAACGAGGTGCCACTTTTTAGTTAGCAGCGTGGACTAGGCCAGCGGAATTCCCTTTTTAAGTACAGGACCACATTTTTGATTGTCTGACCACCACCAGGGAGCTCTTGTGGCTTAGTGGTAAGGAGTTGCACTGCCACCCAGAGGAATGTGGTTCAAATCCACCAGCTGCTCCAGGGGAGACAGATGAGCATTCTCCTGCTGAGTGATTTACAGCCTCTGAAAACCAGCTGGAGGGTCAGCTATGAAGTTCGTTTTCAACTCTACAGCAAATCAGAACAACCTTAAAAAATTTCTATCCAAATCGGCTATTTGAACATGTTATATACAAATTCATCCTGGAAATATATTTCCCCTAAATATTCTTTATTTGAGTTGATTGTGCTCTTGCATTAGTTGTTAAGTAGGGGGAGGGAGAAAAGTGCAACAATGAATGAATGGAAATCCAAAATCTCTGTAAATGCTCATTAAAATTATTAAAATAAAATGTTAAAAAAATAGTTAAGTAACTGGTTTTGTTTGTTTCTTCAACTTTGAAAGAATAGGAATAAGAATAGAGATAGTATCTACCTCAAGGAGTTATCGTTAGAATTAAACAAAATGAAGTTCACCTTAATTATTTTTTTTTAAATTTTTTTTCACCTTAATTCTTGAATTCTTAATTCAATACATAATGTTAGTTATTTTTATTATTACCACATATGACTTTTTTAACCAATTAAAAAAATTTGTTTTAAAGCATGTGCATTCATTGATGTACATTTTCTTCCCTCTCCCCCCCATTCACTTTGTAATGCAAAATCTTGTTCCAGATTGTTAATTGTTTTATGTAAAATGTCTGATCAGCCATATTTATTGCAGCATTATTCGTAATAGTGAAGATATCGAAGGAGCCCAAGTGCCTGCTAACTAATGAATTGGATAGAAAAAATGTGGTACATCCATGCACACTATTCTGCAGCACTGAGAAACAGTGAACTTGTAAAACACTACACAATGTGGATGAGTCTGGGAGACATGAAATAGCTCAGTCACATATGACTTTTTGAAGAATTTATATTTATTTTACTTCTCACTAGTTTTGTTAATCTTGTTTTAAAAGATTCAAACCACTTTCCCTCATATATTAAATAGCCATTTCCCTATTTTTCTTATGCTTTTGGAATATATTAATATGTCACTGTTCCCTGCTGTTAAGTCAACTGTGACTCATAATAACCCTGTGAACAACAAGTCTGACCCTTGTCCTATCCTGCTGTATTCACACAATCTCTATAATACTCAACCCCATCATGATAGTCACCATGTCAGTTCATCTCAGCATTTTCATTGATTTCACTGCCCCCCTACCTGTCCCAGCATGATGTCTCCCTCCAGGGGCTGATTCCTGCTGAAAATGTGCCCAAAGTATATATCCACTGTACCGTGTGGTGGTGGTTGTGTACCTCCAGCAGATTTTCAGCAGCAGCCAATCTTTCTCCTGCAGAGCACTGGCGAATTTGAATCATATTCTTTTGGGTTGGCAGCACAACTCCTTACCACTAAACCACCAGAGCTCCTTACTGTCACTGAGGACGTAACATTTTGCCACCATTCAGTACATTCTAGGAACTTAACACTATTCTAGGTACCTGTCATACAAGATAGTATAACATTTCAAGGAAATTCTGTTAAGTATTTTAATGTAGTATATGATTGAAAGCTAGTTGAATCATAGCTATAGTTGTTGCTTATAAATAGTAGCTTTCTTTGTGGAAAGGGGTAGTCAAAGATTATCATGAATGAAGTGAAGACTAAATAAGATTTTCAAAAAAGGAGGCAAATTTAGGCCTGGGCGCCAAACACTACTCTCTTTTTTTTAAAAAAAAGAATTTTATTGGAGCCCAGCCAGTCCCTTTGTCACTATATTGTCTATGTTTGCCTTTACACCACAACAGCAGATTTTAGTAGCTTTAGATTTTAGCAAAAGTGGCCAGGTGTCCTATAAAACCTAAAATATTTGCCATCTAGCCCTTTTTAGAAAAGGTTTATTAATCCCTCCTATAGACAGTGGAGAGCCATCACAAGCTCAATAGATCAATAATATAATAATATCTGTGTTAAGATCAATAAAAGGTAAAGCCTAATTATTTTTAATTTAGATTGCTGCAAGTCAGAATTTACTGGTGGCAGTGGGTTTTGGTATTTTGGGATTTGTTTCTTTTTAGAATCAAATAGAAACAAGTACAATTTTTTTAAAAGATTGAAAGGTAACTGTTGGTGATAAAGACTAATAAATAGAGTGGTTTAAGGTAGAACATAAAGACTGAACTAGCAATCTGAATTAAAAGTATTGCGAATGGAGAGAAGGAAACAAATTTGGAGTTGTTTTAAAGGTAGATTTAATCATATTGCATGCTCAGGTGGGCATACAAGTGAAACATTTAATAACACAGAAATGTGCTGGAGGTTTCCAGCTCTGATAGTTGAATATTTAGTAAGTGGGGGGGGGGCGACAAACAAGGGAAT